AATAATTATAGTATATGCTACTGACTCGTGGATAGACTAATAATGCTATTGGGAATGAGTCAAATCCTCAGTTCCTTCCTCAGTTTCTAATCATCCAAACCTCCTACTGGACTAAATTCTGTCCTTTTGCACCTGTATAAGCTTAAAGCAACTTCATGCAATCAACAGTTAATTTCAATATACACCAATGTAAGTGAGAGCAGAATTTGGCCCATCGATTCCACTGGCAGTTTGACTGAATAAGTACCCTTGGATTTGTCTTGGTATATTTAATTGGACGTAAAACGCAACCTTTACTAGTAACAGGTGTTGTTGGAGTCACTTCAATAATGCTAATATGGGGTTCTTCTCAGTCATTCAGTTGCACAAGCGCATGACTCTCCCTGCAAGCCTCTTTGGTGGCCAGACTGCACTGAGAAGCTTTAATTTTGTGGCTTCATTGATACTGTGAACTAAGTCCTGCCCTCAGACATGCACACACAACTCCCACTGAATTAATACATCTCCTGTTTATCTCTCAGTGCTACAACCACCCTTTTATTCACAGACTCCGCTGACAGCTCAGTGATTGTAACATGATTCATCCTTTCCTCCTTGTTCTCTTCCCTTGACTAGACACCAGCAAACACAACAGAACTTGAGACAAGAGAAAGAGGCCCCTCGTAATGAAAGATTCAATCACATCTTACCAAAAACAAAGGAGGGCACTGGCTAATGCATGAAGCTGGCTCTTCGCTACCCTAATTGAGGTACGTAAATAAAAGGGAGAGAAAGGCATACATTCAGCTCTGGCGTAAGCAGGTGCAACTCCTCTGGCCTCAGTGATGTCACACTTGCTTAGTGCTGAATTTGGCCCAAGGATAGGGTCCTGATCCAAAGCTCACTGAAGTCAAAGGCAGTTTTTTCACTAACTTAAACTAGCTGTGGGAAACCGCCAAAATGACCAATCGTGGGAGAACTCCTATTAGTCAGACACCAATATAAAAATCATCTCTCTCTCCAGGTTTCTCTTCCAGAGGCATTTACGTTACATTTCTTACGCAGTATCTCCCAACAGAGAAAGTAACAGCCACAGAAATGAGAAGTGATTACAAATGAGTAAGCCATTCACAACCTTCCCTACTTTCAGGGCCTCGTGTATTGGACAACAGCGTAAACTTTCTATGGTGGTTTAACTTTATAGGGGAAAAGGGGACTGGCGTAGCTGGGGAATGTGTCCTACTCTGTAAACCCACATGTGACAAATATAGCGGATTACTAAGAATGACATGACTGGGAGTTACAACACTTGGATTCTCTTCTACTCTGCACTGATTGACTGGGTGACCTCAGATGAATCACTTAAACTCCCTGTTCTTCAGACAGTGCAGACAGTCCCTGTCCCAACGAGCTTACAGACAAGTACACACAATCTGTATATACATAATTGGGAGCAAAGGGGGAGGATTAAAGACAGGGTGATGTCATCAGAGTGCTGGGCAAAGCTGGAGAGAGAGAGAGAGAGAGTGCACGTGCGCGCATAAGGTTGATGAGGGCAATGTGGGTATTAGGGAGGTCAAAGAGGAAGACATTAGGAACATAGGAGTTTCCATCTTTTCAAATTAAAGGCATCGGCCAAATTCTGCCCTCTGTCACATCCACGTACCTGAGTTGACTTTAATACAGCAGGCAAAATTTGGTCACAGTCTACAAATAACATGAAAAAAATATATGTGGGTCTACTATTTTATTACTTGCTAAGCTATATGCCACGGTTTTGCTGAGGTACATATAGTTCCATGTAAACTTCTCTTAGCAAGTCTACAGCAAAGCAACAAATCCTTGCTCCTTTTTACTGTTCGACTAGGGTCACTCAACCTAACAGTCCATTGCCACTCCGCAGGCAATGGCACATAACAGACAACTGAATGACTGAATACTGTAGGTCATCCACAAAATTAGATCAAAGAGTCCCTGTAGTCTATTGAAATGCAATTGCTTCCAAATCACATTGTGGTGTTCCAGGCTTGAAAGAATGGGTCACTGCAGTTTTATTGTAGGGAAGCTACTGCTAATGAAAGGAACAATGGAAAGATTAGTGCTACCAACCATATAGAAGAAACACCACTTTCGGTTTAATTGCAGTGAACAAAGCAAATAGGAAAGAAGGGCAACCAAGTGACAAAAGTAGTTGGTGCAAAGAGGATATAGAGGCTATTCACGAGGCAGCCTTGATCACAGCACAGCGTCCAGACGTAATGTATGATTACTGAATTTGGATTGCAATCAAAGATTTTGGTGTTTTCATTACAGACAGATGATGGCATATTTCTAAGCCAAGCAGCCCAGTAAACTCAGGAACTGAGAATTTTGTTGATTATTTTTACTATTCATTTGTTGTGTAGAAGTTATTATATGGTTGGAAAAAAAGCATGGTTGCAGTTTTAATAACATGTTAGGAGTAGGTTATGAGTGAAGATGAATTACAATTGTCAGTTTAAAATATCTATTATTAGGGCAAATCTAGTGAGCCTTGTAATTCAGAAAAGTCATGGACAGGACTGGAGACAGCCTGGTACTGGAAAGCACCTCATGCTCTGCCAAAATAAAATCAATTCAATCACAATATTTACTCCCTTCTGTTCAAATTCTGGGTGTCTCCTAAGCAAAGACTGCCAATCATGACACTTTGTACAGCGAGACAGTGGTACAAGACCAAAGGTCTATCTCAGACTAAGGTAAAAGTGCTAAACTCAGTTTCCCTGTGACCTAAGGCAGACTTGAGCCCTGGTTCTCCAGACAAGAATCAACACATTTCAACATTATTCCGCATAGTTCTAATAATGCATTTGTTAAATACAAAGCCTACCCAATGTAACAATGTAATAACAAAATGTAAGAATTGTCAGTGATATGGGATCTACCTCAGAGGAACCACAAACATGACGGGAAGTGAAAATGGTTTAAGAAATATAAAGAAAGTTAGTGATCATAGAAATGAAGCCACTCTAATAGAACAAAACCAACACCTCAGTCATTGTTGATATCATCAGCACTACAAACATAACAAAAAACAAAGAAAACTTCATTCCAACTCCCAGCACCTGCTGCAAAAGCCCCTGTCCCAACTGCTTGGATGACATAGATGATGCTAACTCCTTTTAGTAGCTGTTACTAACAAAGAAAAAGCAACATGGCATTCAAAGTATAATCCAGCCCATTTCAAGCAGCACTCAACAACATCCTACAGTTCTTCCTTATGGACCAACCATTTCCAGGGAGATGAATATAAAAATGCTAAATGAAACTGTATTTATTTTCAAAGTAAATGAATGTTTTCAATGCATCTTTCTTCTGTCTTGTCATACATTAGTGATGGTCATATATCCAAGTATCCTTGCAATGAAGGAATTGGAGATTCACTCAATACCTCATCTGGATTTCAGATCTTAACTGACCTCATAAGCCATGTATCCCCTCAGATACTCTAATGCCATGAATGTTATTGCTTCAATCCAAATATTTACCACGGTGCACACCAGCCATTTTTTCTAGGAGGATTGCATGGAAAGCAAGACCTTTATCCTAGGACATAACAAGAGCTATTCAACTCTGTTGATGTTCTTTTGCATTGTACCAATCAATGAAGACTTCCTTAGGGATAAAACAATGTAGAATGTAGTCTAAAAAAAGTTTGTTAGTAAGATTTTTTTCATCATTTTGGAAAACACAGTGGTAAACAGCAAATACTGCAAGCAAAATACTTACACTCAGAACAGGGTTCACCAATTAAGACTTTTTAATCAATGAAGGCTGAAACTTTCAAAAGTAGTATAAGGGAGCTAAGCACCTAACTCCTATTGGCTTTCAATGAGAGTTGGGTGCCAGATTTCTCCCTCAAGCACCTGACAATCCTAGACATAATGTTTATTTTTTTCTCATAATTTTATGGCCTGATCTTGCAAATTTTACTGCATAAGTAGTCCAAACACAGAAGCAAGAATACGGACTACTCACAAATGCAAGAAGGGCATTTACCTTATCAGAGCAATTAGACACCGTATACAGCTATCATGCATGCTAGGGGAATGGATGAAAATTCTCCTGGATTTATTACACACATCTGCCATCAAACTGGTTTTTTTCTTTAAAATTGTGACCCCCCCCAAAAAACCCCACCAGTAATGAGACAAAGACAGAGTTTATCATCTATAATTAAAGCTCTCTTGTTAAACATGATGTTGCTAGTTCAGCTAATGATGTTAGGAAAATCTGTAAAATAGTCCATGGCATGAAAACTATGCTGT